AGCTGGGCTTTTGGGGCATCGATCCACGGACACGAACTACGGTCCGTGACCTGACTTACGGACCGTAAGTCCGGCCGTGGGTCAACACTTAGCCAAATTTTCTGACTGAGTTCTGGGGAAGTTTTCTGTTACGAACCACGGACCTGCAGGACGGACCGTGAGTCTATCTACGGTCCGTGGATGGTGTCCGTGAGTGCCACCTGTAACACCAGAAATCTGAAATCTCTATTTTCGGATACGGGGTGTTACATGCATCACGAAACAAATGCAGAGCATAGCATGAGTACCAAAACAACAGGTACCCAGTAGGCATCATAGGCCAACTGAACTTGAAAAGTTAAGACAATATGAAAAGAAGGAATAACACAAACCGAAGTCAAGAACCAATATCTAACTAACAATGGAATGCACATGAGTGTAGAAAGAACTAACTAAAGTAATCTATAAGCTAACTACACCTAACTGGCCCCCCATAAGCCCATAAGGTACACTCGTGCTCAAGTTAAATAAAAACCCGAATGGACCCCCATATGCCCGACGAGTACACAGAATAATTATAACTAAAGGGAATTGCATATAAGAAGCCAAGAACGGAGAACATCGAACCAGAACCTCAACCCCAATTAGTAGAATCTGACAGTACGGAGGTCGTACCACGAACCGGATGCTCACTAGAAGTACCCAAGTAACCAATCACAAGTATCAAGTATATGAGGCCGGAACTCTAACTGGATGCTCTGTATAGGTATCTGGGCAATAGAGGCCGAAACTCTAACCGGATGCTCTATATAAGTATCTGGGCAATAGAGCCCGGAACTTTAACCGGATGTTCTATATAAGTATCTGGGCAATAGAGGTCGAAACTCTAATTGGATGCTCTATAAAGGTGCCAATGTAGCTGCTGAAAGAGTCCCAATCGATCCATGCTCCTAAATGTCCGTTGAACGCCGTCCACACTTAGCCAATCAATGTAAGTCCTTGGAACCGAATTAAAAATCAAATTCAAATCGCGAAGCAGAACTAGTGTCGCCGACGTAACTCGTGAAGCCGTAATATCGGGGAAAAAAAAGGATAACTATCTTCAGAGCAAGCGTATCGCCTAACTAAGGCCCAAACTATCAGACTCAAGTCTGCAATTCCAGTCTATAGGGATCTAAGTCGTTCGAGCGACGTCGGGGAAAAACTAAGGCCTATTGGATTCGAATCATGAATTTCTAAGGCAAGCCCTAGTCAAACCTAAACTAAGGCCCAATATGCTTCAAATAAACAATAATTAAGCATGCAAGCACTCCACATAGTGATGAAGGTCAATTAATAACACAAAGCATGCTCACAGTTACCCGATAATTCTCGAAATAGGCCGAAAACATAATTTTTAAACACCTATACGTGATTCAATAACTACCAACCCAAATCCCACTAATCAACATGCATTCACACTCTCAAGCTCAATCTAAGAGAGGGAAATCGTAGCCTACTTGTAGGCCGATCACACGTGCTCCAAAATCACTTCTTCGGAGCTTTCCCTTTTCGAACGGTCTCGAAACGCTGTCCCGCTATCAAAAATAGAGTCACAACATTATTACGTTCGTTTAGACACCAAAATCACAATAAACGGAGATGGACCAATTTCAGGGTCAAAACGGGGAAAGTGGGACCCGCGCTGAAAATTCTGAAATTAACCCCAAAAGTGGGTCCTAACCAGTTACCCTAGCTCATGTCCCAAAATGGGACACGATTCGGGTATCGAGAACAACACAATATCAACATGCAACCAAAACCCAAATTTTCTCAAGAACTAGAAATGGGACAGCAGTTGAATCAGTAAATTTACCAGAAATGGGAGGTCTACATAGAATTCCGACAACACCACGACGTTCTCCTCGAAAAACCACTTAAGATAGCCTCAAGAATCACTGAAATCGGACCTAAAATGGCTGAGAAAGCAAGTATCAAAAATTCCAAAATCAAGCTCACAAAAAGGGGTCGTGGCAGCAGGTATTTTACAAAAATTACCTCAAACGGGGACCCCAAATCACTATCCGAGCTTACCAACGCGTTCCTTGCGAAAAACCTCAGAAGATGAACTTTTGAATCACTGAATTTGGACTTGAAATGAGAGTTATGAGGTTTTAAGGTTTGAGAATGTTTGCTGATATATTTGCATTATATAGCAGATTTTCTGCAATATTTTCCCAAAATTAAGAACTCCGACGGGGTGCTCCGAACTCGTTCGGAACCCCGTGCAGGCAAACGAGATATGCAACCATACCAAATTTGATATTTCGGACTCAATGACATAGTCAAAATTTTCATATGAGGTCATCTTGACAAAAAGTGGGCCTTACACCCAAATGTCATTTTAAGTAAAAAATCACAAAAGAGCTCAGAAAAATATCGAAAACCTCGAGACACAAAAGAAAGGTCAATCTAGACCAAACTTGACATTCCGGAGCTAACCGCGCTGACGGAATTCTCATCCGAGTGCGTTTACTCAGAATGTTGACCAAAGTCAAACTTAGGCTTAAACTTAAAGTTAAAACGCCTAATCGCACCGACTCACACAGAAAACCTCGGGCGTCATGTCGACCATTCTACTAGCCTAAAATGACCCTTTCGGAGTTGATGGAATCATCAGAATTGGATTCCGATGTCATCTTCTTGAACTTTTGATCGAAAATGATCGTTCAAGGTTCATAAGCTCCAAAACACAAAAACTCGCACCAAAACCAAACGAACGACCAAGTGACCGAATTGTCAGTCCCAGCCAGTTATAAATGACTTGGGGTCGCTACAAGAACGCTCTAAACGATACACAGAAGTCAAGACACAGAAATGACCTGGTCATTACACCCCCCCTCCCCCCACTCATATTTAGTATTTTATCAATTCAAAACAATCATCTCTTTAATATTGTTATCGCAATCTTTGTTGTTCTTCATTTTTTTCAAACAAATTCTATTAAAACAACCCTATCAATATCATAAAATAAGAAAGAAATTTACATAATCTCAAACTATATCGAAGATGTTATTATTAATTTTTTTCTTCTTATATATTTAATAAAAATAAAAGCACAACACAAAATTCTAATTTTAGAGTGACCAAAGTAGTGTATAACTCAATGCTTGTGTGGGCCTCTCTAGCCAAAAAGTCCAAAAATTCATCAAAGTATATAAACTAGAGTGACATTTGTGTTCATTCAAGAACCTTCTTTTCCCCCATTTCTTCATCCCCAAATCCCAATGCATTATCACCCAATTACATGGATAATGAATCTTAATTTTCTGTGAAGGATAACTTCACTTGTTATTTATTTAAGCTTTTTAGCCGGTATGTGTTCTTGTTTCATCTTCTTGTCTTTGTTCCTGCTTTCTGTGTTTTTTTTGGGTGATTTTGTTTGATTTGTCCGAAATGTTCTTAGTTGATGCTTGTTTTGACTTGTGAGACTTTTGGGGTTGACTAAATGCACATTCTTGATGAATTTCACTTGGAAAAAAAATGGAAGTCTGAGTAGATATCAACTAGTTGGAGTGAGGGTTAGTCTGTATCGACATAAAGTTTTGTAAATTTGGTTAGAGATTGATATGGTATGTGTGTAAAGGTGTGATTTTTATAGAATTTTGTTTTTTGGTGAAATGGAACTGACCCAAATGAAGCTGAAATGATATAGAGTCGAGGGTCTATTGGAAACAACCTCTCTACCTCCCAAGGTAGGGGTAAGATTTGCTTACCCTCGCTCGTGGGATTACATTGGGTATGTTGTTGTTGTTGTATAGCCTAATTCAACTAGTTCGGGGTTGAGGCATGGTTGTCTGACTAGTTGCACATTCTTGATGAATTTCACTTGGAAAAAAATGGAAGTCTGAGTACATATCAACTAGTTGGAATGAGGGTTAGTCTGTTTTGACATAAAGTTTTGTAATTTTGGTTAGAGATTGATATGATATGTGGGTAAAGGTGTGATTTTTATAGAATTTTGTTGTTTGGTGAAATGGAACTGACCCAAATGAAGCAGAAATGATGTAGAGGTGAGGATGTATTGGAAACAACCTCTCTTCCTCCCAAGGTAGGGGCAAGGTTTGCTTACACTCTAACCTCCCCATACCCCGCTCGTGGGATTACATTGGGTATGTTGTTGTTGTTGTTGTTGTATAGCCTAATTCAACTAGTTCGGGATTGAGGCATGGTTGTTTGACTAGTAGCACATTCTTGATGAATTTCACTTGGAAAAAGATGGAAGTTTGAGTACATATCAACTAGTTGGAATGAGGGTTAGTCTGTATCGACATAAAGTTTCGTAATTTTTGTTAGAGATTGATATGATATGTGGGTAAAGGTGTGGATTTATAGAATTTTGTTGTTTGGTGAAATGGGATTGACCCAAATGAAGCAGAAATGATTTAGAGGATTCATATAAGCCTAATTCATTTTGTGAGCCGAGGGTATATCAGAAACAACCTCTCTACCTCCCAAGGTAGGGGTAAGGTCTGCTTACACTCTTGACTCTACTACCCTCCCCAGACCCTACTCCCGGGATTGCACTGGGTATGTTGTTGTTGTATAGCCTAATTCAACTAGTTCAGGGTTGAGGCGTGTGGTTTTCAGTAGATTATATTTGCCCTTGAGCTTCCACTATGTTAGGGTTTTATCTTATATTGAACATCTTGAATTTTAGCCCATGTTATAGGAGAATTCAGGTGAAACGTGAATTAGGTTCCAATTCAGAATGTTGAATGCAACAATAGACAGTTGATAGTTGTCAAAGATGACTGAAAAGAAAAACACCTTCGACTAGTAGAGTTACAGTATAATAAAGAGTAAACAAGTAGAAAGGTTTATTTTGGCAAAATCGGGATAGTAGTTTCTTTATGATGCAAGCACACTTTCAAGTTTCAACATTTCACTTTTCTTGGGTATTGCACATTTATTGAAGATGTTACTTGTGCCTTATCTTTTGTTCTTTCATCCACAGGTTGTTAATTAAAGGACAGTTATTGAGAATAAAAAAAAAAAGCAGCTGGTATATGATAGCTGCAAACAGTAAGACTATCTCAAAACTACTTCATTATTTTCTATTTGAAGTTTATATTTACATTAACGACTTTTAGTTTATATTACCGCCCATGGAAAGTCCAAAGGTATATCATATGAAACTTGCATGATTTCCGTTATATACTGGAAAACCGTGGTGCATACTTTAAGAACAGATAGATATGGTTGGCATTTGTTTCATTCAAAACTGCTGGTGAATGGCCCCTGGGATGGAAGTGTACACATACTTCTTGTTAACATGAGATTGAAGTATCTTGGGCTCTTAGCCAGCTACATATTTATTTAGGAAATGCCAAAGGTGGACCCTGTAGGCAATCACTCAAATTGTTTCCTTAGGAAATGTGAAGTGGACCTTGAGGTGACTCAAATTGTTTCTAGCTGACAACCAGCTCCATCACTATACAAGCTCGTTGTCGAGTATGTTTGGTTATGACTTAGTGAAATTGCATAGGGAGGTACTCATGTATATTCAGATGATCATTGTTGATGATACCTCAGTTTTAGGAAGTGTTGGAGCATGTTTAAAATTATGTTGAGAGGAAGCATCATGGAAGATTGTTGAATAGTTTTTTATGCACTTGATTTTAGCTTTATTAGGAGAGGGGGAGAGATAATTTAGTTTCTACATTGTGTGTGTGTATATATGGACTAAAGAGCGTCTGAATCAGTATTATATATATATATATATATATATATATATATATGACTTAATAATTTGGTATGTATTACTGCATCAATTTAGTAACGTGTTGTATCCTGTGATAGATTGAAACTTTCAAAGAGTCTGTCGAAATTAACTGTATGAGAGAAAGTTGAGCATACCTAGTTAATAAATCACCATAAATGTCGGCCGTCCAATAGATTCACCACACAGAAGTCAACGTTGTGCATAATAAATGACTAGTCGATACATATTTCTGGTTCTTGTATGGTATTACTTTACACCTATTATACATTTTTCCTTTTCACTTTTTTTTTACACCTATTGACTGATGTATTTTGCAATAAAAACAATCAATATGCTCTCTCTCTTAGTTTCTTCCTTCCTGTCTGTCGTTCGACCACGGTAGGCACTTTAGTTTCTTTTTCTGGAAAAAAAAAACTAATCATACTTTTTTTTCTCTCTTTATGACCTGCTCCCCCATTTCTGATCTGGAAACATGTATTTTGCTCATTTTCATTTCACCCTTCGTTACTAAAATTTCTTTCAGGATTGTCATCTTGTTCTTCATCCTCCTTAGCCTTTTTAACCTCATTTCTCGAACTGTCCCCTTTCCTACATTTCAGTCGTCATAGTTCTTTAATTACTGCTTTAAAATGATTGCTACATGCCCATCATAACCTAGCATGTTTATACTGTCAAGTCCCATATTACTGCCCATTGCCCTCTAAGAGGTGATGCAGTTAAACACAACAGGAGAACAGCATTATATCCAGTCCACGTACACATTGAATGAAAAGAAAATATATGAAGTGGTTCCGACCTTTTTGAAAGAGAAGGGAAAAGTTGAGACATCTACTTGATACTGGTCTTGAGAATGGAGATCGGAGAGTTGATGACTGGGGGGAAGAGGACCCCGAGATCATATCCCGGCAATGGTCAAAAGGTCAGCAATAAATTTACTGTTCAAACTAAAATTTGTGGCACTAAATAAGGAGATTGTTCGTCACAGAGTAAGGAGGAATTTTCAGGATTGGGAGGTTACCGAGTTTCAAAGATTGCTAGATTTACTTCAAAAACAATGAGAGCTGATTGATGGACCCAATGCTTTGATGTGAGAGTTGGGGAATATCAGTTCCTTCTCAGTTAAGTTCTTCTATGAGAAGCTTCTGGTTAGGGCTTAGGTTAGTTTTCCGCATGCATCAGTCTGGATTCCTAAGGTGCCGAGGAAGGTGTGCTTCGCATGGTTAGCTACTAGAGGGGTTATTTTGAGGGCAGAGAATCTTAGAAATGAAAGGTTGTATGCATGAGCTTGTGTTTCCTTTGTAAGGAAGCAGATGAGGATGTGGACCATATTCTGTAACATTGCAAATCAGCTACCAGGTTATTGGAGGATATGTTCGGATGGTTTGGTGTTTCTTGGGTAATGCCAAGATCCGTGAAGAAGTTGATATCCAGCTAGGAGAAGAAGACACAAGGCTTGAAATGTTACTCCACTTGCTTTGATGTGGGAAGGAGAGAAATCGGAGAGCTTTTGAAGTGGTGGAGATGAGCTATGCTTATTTGAGGAGTAGTCTCTGATCCCTTATTTTCTTTTGGTGCACTCATTTAGTTCCTCTTTGTATAGAGGGTTGGGTTTCTTTTGGAGAGAACCATATTTTGTAGGCTTCTCATTTTTTTGGTATACCTCTTGTATATGGACGAGTTAGCGTAGCTATTATCAATGAAATCTTTTACCTGATTAAAAAAGTGTAATTGCATGAGCTTTTCATTAAAATCTTTTGTTTCAAGTCAAGTCTTGCCTGATCTGTGTACTTGACCAGTCACTTTTATACTTTGCTTCATTGATGACCATATCATGTTGGTTTCAGCCAAGGTCCTTTTCCGCGAAAAGCAGATGCAAAGAAGGCAAAAGGGATGACAGAAGTAGAGTTAGGCTCAGAAAAACATAAGGAAGAAGAAAGCCAAAAAATAAAGCGAGATAAAATGACGAACACACCCAAGTCAAGCAGCAAAAAATCTGTGAGTGTGCATCTTCTGTTCTCTTTAATTTAATCATGTCCTGTTTTCTGAAGTTAAAGGTTGATCGATGTAAAATGAATGTCTCAAGTGGAGAACGATCTAGCTGCTTAAAGAAACTTGGCAGACTCAGAAGAACTTAGAGTGTAGTGTAGACAAAAAAACTCCCAACTTTCATGAGCAGACAAGTTCTGTCTCATGAATTCCTTGTTTGAATCATGTGTGTGGTGTGTCCAAATATTTTTGCCTTAGATATGAAGTTGAGAAGCTTATTTTTCTTATAGGAGTCTGGACCTTCGTTGTGCAAATCACCAGAAAAGCATAAGGAAGAGGAAAGCCGGAAAAAAAAGCGAGACAAAATGCCGAACACACCCAAGTCAAGCAGCAAAAATTCTGTGAGTGTGCATCTTCTGTTCTCTCTAATTTAAGTATATCCTGTTTTCTGAAGTTAAAGGTTGATCGATGTAAGTGGAGAACCGTCTTGCTGCTTACAGAAACTTGGCAGACTAAGAAGAACTTAGTGTAGTCTAGACAAAAAAATATCCAACTTCCATGAGCAGACAAGTTCTGTCACCATGAATTCCTTGTTTGAAACATGTGTGAGATGTGTCCTAATATTTTCGCCTTAGATTTGAAGTTAGGAATCTTATTTTTCTTGTAGGAGTCTGGACGTTCGTTGAGCAAATCACCAGAAAAACATAAGGAAGAGGAAAGCCGGGAAAAAAAGCAAGACAAAATGCCGAACACACCCAAATCAAGCAGCAAAGAATCTGTGAGGGGGCATCTTCTGTTCTCTTTAATTTAATCATGTTCTGTTTTCTGAAGTTAAAGGTTGATCGATATAAAAAGGTCTCAAGTGGAGAACCGTGTTGCAGCTTACAGAAATCTCGCAGACTAAGAAGAATTTAAAGTGTAGTGTAGACAAAAAATTCTCCAACTTCCATGAGGAGACAAGTTCTATTTCATGAATTCCTTGTTTGAATCATGTGTATGACATGTCCTAACATTTTCTCCTTAGATTTGAAGTTGAGAATCTTATTTTTCTTATAGGAGTCTGGACGTTCTTCGAGCAAATCACCAGAAAAGCATAAGGAAGAGGAAAGCCGAAAAAGAAAGCGAGACAAAATGCCGAACAAACCCAAATCAAGCAGCAAAGAATCTGTGAGTGTTCATCTTCTGTTCTCTTTAATTTAATAGTGTCCTGTTTTCCGAAGTTAAAGGTTGATCGATGTAAAATGAAGGTCTCGAGTGGAGAACCATCTTGCTGCTAAAAGAAACCCAGCAGACTAAGAAGAACTTAAAGTGTAGTGTAGACAAAAAAAATCTCCAACTTCCATGAGCAGACAAGTTCTGTTCCATGAATTCCTTGTTTGAATCATGTGTGTGACGTGTCAAATTATTTCGCCTTAGATTTGAAGTTGAGAATCTTATTTTTCTTTAGGAGTCTGGACCTTCGTTGAGCAAATCACCAGAAAAGGTAAAAATCAATCCCTCTTTTCCACCGAAAACTGAGAAGATGTCTAGCGAAGCCCAAAATAGACTCTAGGGAAAAGGGGGTCCGTGGATGAAGTGAGTACAATTGATTCTCTTTCCAAGTTCCAACAACTTGTTCATAAAACTTGTAGTTTGAGTTTTAGCTTATGCACTTGTGTCACCATGCACTTATTGAACGCTCTTATTTTCTGTTGAGTAATAGTTCTAGTAAGCCTTGAAATGAGCCCCTCGAAAGCTTGATGCAAATAAACGAATTTTTGTTCTACGTCTCCGACGTCCTACTCTGATATCACACTATATTAAGATTGCATTTTCCTGCAATCACACTGTCCAAAAAAATTTCGCTTGAGTTTCTTTTTATTAACGAGACATAAAAACATCTTCAACTGATTACTTATCCCCCACTCACCCCCCCACCCCACCCCCACCACACACACAAAAAAGAGAAGAGAGAGGGAAAGATCAAAGAGAACTTGGAGGTGTTAACTAAATCATAAGGGCTTGGAAACACAAGTACGTAGATATCTATATATGCAATCCTTCCATAACATTAACTCATTGGTAATGTTGGTTGGCATTCAGGTGACAGCTTCAGCTGGAAAATATACACTGAGCACACGCCAAGTGAAAATAATGCGCAAGCTTGGTTTGATGGCTCCTTCTGGGTCTCCATTTAATAAAAGGAAACATGTTGTTGCTCCTCCAAAACCCCCAATTATTCCCAAGGACCGTGTTTCTACGCTTAAAAGGCCTCCATCCAATCCTAAGGAACGTCTTCCCGCAATTGATAGAATAGTTGTTTGTGGTCTAGCTGCTGCTGGATCTGTCAATCGTGTTATGAAGTAGCTTTTGTTTCTCAACTGTTTAATCCTCGGTAACTCAGAGTTTGATGACAACCTAAACTACCAATGTAGTGCTGAAGCTGTCAGCAGTGTTATACGAGAGCGGGATGTAGGATTACAAGCTAGTGGGTGCGGAGTACTGTGCACCCACATTTGTTTTTGTAACAATGAGAATAAACTATAAACTTAGCAATTAGTGATACAGTTTAGAACATTTCAATTACAGGTATACCTCAAACAAAGAAGCGGGTACAGATACACCCGCGGCCTCTACCTCCGCCCATGTCTATGGTGATGTTGTGATACCAACTGTAGAAATGCACATTATGTTTTCTTTTGTTGTCAGAATGCTTTGATGGGGTAAATTCTGAATGATATTTGTGATTGGGAAGTGAAAGGTAACATATACTCCAAGAGGCCATGAGTTCGGGCTGTGGAAACAACTTCTTGCAGAATAGTAAGGTAAAGTTGTGTACCAGTAGACCCTTGTGGTCCGGTCCTGTATTACTATATGAAATAAACAAAATATTATTCCTTTTACAGTTACAAGAAAACCTCATGTTGCATACCAGTAAAAGATCTGCCCATTTGAGATTCAGAAAATAATTCACAAGTACCAAATACTTGTAAGTTTTTTCTGGTACATGAACATGGGAATGGGAGAAAGATTCAAAAAGTTATCAGCAGGCCAGGCAAAATTCTTCTAGGTAACAGCTCACAATACAGTATCTAATGAATTATTGGTTTCTATCTCATCTCTGACGATTAGTCAACAATTTGAAATAAGTAGGACTTGACAAACGAGCGAGTCGAGTTGAATATGAATCGATCAAAAAATAAGTTAAATAAAAATGGATAAGTTACTCGACTCAACTTACATTTTAAATGGGTAAAAACGAGTTATTCAATGGATAATCATATTTACCCATATTATAATAGAAATCTTGTTAAAAGCTTTAAAAACAAAAAAAAAATTAAAGTTTTTTTTTATCACTTCACTCCACCCCCTATCAGCCCCCCCTACTCCCTATCCTAAAAAATGTAAAAAAAAATTACCACCCCACCCCCCTACCAGACACCCCCTACCCCTACCAGCCCCCCCGCCCCCAACCTCCACACCCCATCCAAAAAAAAATTACCACCCCACCCCCTATCAGCCCCCCGCCCACACCCCACCCCCTACCAGCCCCTCCCCCCTCACACCCCATCCAAAAAAAATTTAACAAAATTTTAAATTTTTTCTAATAATTTTTTTTTAAAAAAATAAAATAAAAAATTTACCAACCCACATCCCTACCAGCCCCCCACTCCCCTTGAAAGAGCGCATAATAGCTCACTAATCGACCCTCCTGACAGTATGCGTCTCTCATCTTCATAACATAAAATTGTCTAGGAGAGTTGAAGGTATCAAATTAGGACTAACAATAATTTAGGTGTGCACTAAATAAACAAAACTAAGTTCATGGAGGTCCCATATTACCATGATAACTAATCTTAGTATAACTGATCTTATCATAGCTTGTCTTCAAATCAAACGACCTCAGATACACTCATTGGATGTATAGGATGCCAATAGTTGTTTTTTTTTTTTTTTATATGTCAAAGTGACAATTGTTGTTATGAGCAGGTGGTGGAACTAGGGGTGTACAAAATCGAACCGAAAACCGAATCAAACCGCAAACAGCATCAACTCGAAAAAATATTCGATTAGTCGTTTGGTTTGACTTGGTTTGGTATTGGGAAAAAAACCCAACTATATTTGGGTTGGTTTGGTTTTAACTAAAAAAAACCAACCCAAGACCAAACCAACCCGACATTATATATGTAATTTTAAAATTTTATGTTATACATAAAAATATTTACTTTGATATAATTTTAAAATATTTCTTATACTATTTCATAGTTTTTATCTTTTAATATATAATTTCAAGTTTAAAACTTAGAATGGTCCAATAAAGATTATAGTTCATAGATGTTGATAATTATAATAAAACTTAAATCAAAATCAAATTAATACTAATGCAAAAAGAAAATCAATTCAACACTAAGAATGACAATAATATTGAATATTTTTTCTTTAGTTTTACATTGGTTTAGACAATTAAAATACATAATCTAATTTTAATTTTCCTTAAATATTTAGTAATGTAACTAATACTTATTAAACTTATTTTAGCATGATTTAATACTTTTAAATTATGATCATTTTCATTATGACTTTGCAATATTTATTTTATATGATGATTTCATTATTATTTTTTATTGAATATTTTTTGTGTCATCAGTACTAATCTCATATTTTGTGTTATTTTTTTAAGAAACACCTTAGATAATTGTATTTTGGTTGGACTAAAGAAATATTTGTAGCACAAGTTAATTATATGTTTGTATGCAAACTTTACCGAAAAAATCCAAAAATCTAAGGTGTATTAGTTTGGTTTGATTTATAAATTTAAAAATTCGACACAATGGTTTGGTTTGATATTTGAAAAATCCAAATCAACCCGAGGTTGAAAAACCCGAAAAAATCCAAATTTTATTATTTGATTTGATTTATAAATTTAAAATTTTTACACAAATAATTTGGTTTGATATTTGAAAAACCCAAACCAACCTGGTCATGTACACCTCTAGGTGGAACCCATAAAAAAGGTAGCAAAAAAAATGTGTCTCAAAATAGTAAACATGTTCAGAGAAATTGTTTAGCCTTTTATGACCATGAAGTCCTAAGTACTTGAAATAACTATACTAATAAATTGGTTATATATTGACATGACAATTGACAAGAGGGTAATTCTTGGGACATCAAAATTTCTGGTTTCTTTAAGGGTTTATTCACTTTTTTGTTTTTGGTTAGATCTATGTCTCTTCTTCACTTTATTTCATTCTTTTTTTCTCATTTGAATTTTCAATGTTTGAAAGTGGAAGAGACAGCAATTGATCTGTTGAACACTTTTTTTTTGCCTTTTGTTTGTCTCCTCTGATTATGTTTTTTTGGTATCTTCCTGCTTAGAAGTAGGATTTTATTTGGTTTTGACTATGTGGAGGGAACACATAGAAGTGCTTATTTACTTTGTTTGATATATTTATATTGTATTTTTTTTTTTAGTCTGTTTAAAAAGAATGTTATATTTGTTTATTTAAATTATAGTTTTCATTTTCATTAATGAGGTGGTTTATGTTTAGAAATAGGATCTTATTTGGTTTTGACTATGTGGAGGGAACTCATAGAAGTGTTTTACGTCGTATTTTTTTTTTTAAATCTGTTTTAAAAAGAATGTTATATTTGTTTATTTGAATTATATTTTTCATTTTCATTAATGAGATGGTTTATGTTTAGATAAATATCATATTTGTTCTATACTATAAATTTCGGAAGTGTTTTTTTTAAATATATATTTTGTATTAAGTCAAATACTGTGTAATAAATTGGGAAGAAGGAAGTAGTAATGCGTCAATGTAAAGTGGAAATACTTTTCTTTAACTAAAAATTACGGTAATCTAATAGACTCTCAACTAAATGAAAAAAGAGTTCAAAGCAATGTAGAAAAAGGAATATTGGAAGTGAATAAGCCATGACAGAATACAATGACGAATCACTTTGAACAACAAAATAATACAATAATCGAAGGACAAGAAACTACAAGAATAATGTTATGACTACGTATGGAATGATAAGTGCTAAAACACTCTACTAGCTAGTAACCTTCTACCTTATTCCATGTCTTCCAGAGTCTTCTATCTATGATCATGTGTTCAAAAAGTTGAAACTACGTCATATTATGTCTAATCACCTCGATCTCCCCAATACTTCTTCGGCCTATCTTCACGGCTCTACCCTCCTAAAACCATTCATAGCCAACTTCTCACATCTTCATACATTTCCTCTTCGTATGTCCAAACCATCTTAGTCTATCTTGTCGTCCACCAAAGCCACTCCACACCTTGATGTAACTAGACGATCGATGTAAAAAATAAATGTTTGCCTTTCTATTGGACAAAAGAAATTCTTGCTATGGAGTCATGTACAAATAGACTTCTTCTTTTAGTTTTTAATATCACCAATGAGAACCACAACATATTTTTTTTTTTGGTTTTTCCTCTAGTGTACTATATTTATTTTGAAGTTCTGAATAATCTGAATTCACATCGCGTAAGACATTCATTATATAAAAGTACTTTTTGTTCTCATTATTTAAACTTGAGACCTTTGATTAAAAACAAAAAGATTGTATCAAACCCACCACAATTCTTGAGAATAGAATCACAATATTTTAATAAAATTTGCACCAATGAAAAAACAAAAGAAGTAGGGTTAGATGTTACATGTATGACATAAATAGTAAAAGGAAATAACAAGAAAAAGTCTTCTCTTGTGTTAAGCCATACTAGTAGAGAGGAGGCAAAGTATGAAATGCCCCCATGACAAGTTAACATCAACAAATTGATAAAAACTTTGAATTTTGTTTGTTGGGGGTGGGGGTGGGGTGTGTCATGTGTGGACCCACAAATCCTGTTTCAAGTAATGTGCCAAAACTGAATATTTTTGCAGTGTTACACTCTGTCTGAGATTTTATGGTCTCGAATTTTACTCTACGTATGTTTGTTTAGTACTATATGAATGTATATATATTCTAATATTCATAGTATATAAATTTTTATACTATCAGATTAAGTCGATTCATAACAAGTAATTCTCTATAACAAACCATCTACGCGCAAAGAATGAAATTATGGCTAGCAGGTTAAGTTGACTTACAAGTTACAATCGATAACTATTCACAATAAGTCAGATATGATAAGCTCATAACCTAAAATATACAGTTATACCTAACAAGTAACAAGTTTAACATTTACCAGATTAAGTTTATCTTTTGTTATTGTAAGAAAAATTCTACATATCAGATCATTTAAAAGATAAGTACAAATAATATATTATCACAAGTGTGATTACTAACCGGAAAAATTAGGTCGACAACAAGTTGAATCGATCATATTTCGAAAGTTTCCCCAATTACAAAAATCGCTTTTGGATATATTCCTTGGTTGTCCGATGCATTGCAAATGAGGAATTACTTAATGAAAGAGATGTATCCGAGAGAGGAAATCTGTAATTTTTTTAAATGCTAGGGAATTTTAGAGATTATAATATCTCAAGTTGTGTATTTATGTAATTTTTCAAATATCTTTACACCATCCGTGTATTTACGTTAAATATATATCGGTTAAATTACACGTATAATACGTATAACAAATTTCAGTGTGTGTATATATATATATGATATTAACTTAAATCAAAAAAATAAAAATAAAACAGACAATGAGAGTTTGATCCGCTGAACACTGCATAATAAAACAACACTCCAAAATATATAATTAATAAATAATTTTTTCTTTGAGGCTAATAATATTAATAAGAATAGGAATATTTGATTTTGCTTTCAATTTGCAGTGGTAAAAGTACTGTTCAGTATCAATCTGATTAGCATATTTTCAGTAGTCCCCTCTCTGTATATATGTTCATTCTTGATCTCTCCTTTTCATATATTAACTGTAATAATAATCATTTTCACAATATATTAAATCATTATTGTGTTGTTTTTATTTTTATAAAAAGGAAAAATGCATAAGTACACCCAACCTATGCCCAAAATCCCTAAGACACATCTAACCTTTACTAAGGTCCTATTACCCCCCGAACTTATTTTATATATAATTTTCTACCCCTTTTCGGCCTACGTGGCACTATCTTGTGGGCCCGACACGTGTTGACAATTTTTTCAAGGATAGTGCCACGTATGCCGAAAAGGGGTAAAAAATTAATTAAAAAATAAGTTTGGGGGTAATAGGACATTAGTAAAGGTTAGGTGTGTTTCAGAGATTTTAGGCATAGACTGGGGGTACTTATGCATTTTCTCTTATAAAAATAATAAATGTTCAAAGGTACATTCTCTCTAGTCTATAGATTGGTCTTGTGAATATTTTGGAGTGTTATAGATAAATATTTTCTTGCATTAAATACTGGAATTATGGAGACTTCAGGAATTAAATGTGTATAATTAATTAAAGAGGATTGAAGGGACGACACAGTTGTGATCACATATTTGAATTGTGAAAATAATTTCTTGCATAAATAATAAAACCGCATACAGTAAATTCTTATGATTTAATTCTTTTTTTGGACTCAGTACTGTAATGTAACATGAGAAACATGAGACTTGCTAGGGTTACATCATTGGATAGTTAATTTGAGTGTCATTAATTTAGAAATCATGATATTTTATTTCTTAATTATGAAAATTAATGAATGTTTTGAAGGATCCATAAAAGGTGTTATTAAATAATTTGACAATATATAATCTTTTGAATGCATATAAATGTGTAATTAATTAGAAAGGGGTAAAAATATTACTTATCCCCCATGGCCTATACTATCCTTTTAAAATGACTTTCTAGCCTTGTAAAAATAAAATGTTGTTATATATAAAGAGGTTTCGACTAATATTATTATCGATATAATGACTTACACTATGTCAGGCCAGTTTTTACATTAGAGTATTCTTGAAAATATACACAATAACAACATACTTATATAATCATATTAGATGAAGTCTGAAGAAATTAGAATGTACATAAAAATTTTCTTTATTTTAAAAATAAATTGTTTTGTTTTGATAAATCGCTGAAACGAAAAATAATTGTTGATAGTAATTTTTTTTTCTCTCACAAAATTCAAAAAATGACCAACAGAGAAAGAGAGATGTGATGAAGTGAGGTTATCAATCTGAAAATGTGTCTCATTCCATAATTTACCTTTTAACCGCCAACGGTAAAAAGTCAGTACACTCTTAAGCCTAGTCTATTTCTATGTTCCATAATATCCTTACAATTTCATCATCACTCCTCTCTTTTTCTCTTTTTCCAAGCATCGATTTGGTTCGATTTTATGTATTATCAATTCGATTTATTGGTTTTTAATTTATCGGTTTTTTGTCATTAATGGTTCGATTTTCAGTTTATCCAATAAGAAAATGTTCATAAATAAATATTGATTTCGTACTTCTCTAATAATTTGACACGATACAGTGAGACAAATACATCACATGTAAATGCTTTGATATAGTGAAACAAGAAATACAATGAAAAATTGCATCAATAAGAGTAGATGTAGTATGAAAGCTACAATAACATGTTACAACCAAAACATAATATGAAATTTCTGATGTGAAGTAGAAGTACTATGATGGTGTGAAGTGTGTAGACCGTAGTGTAGAGTATTGATATAGTGTCTAGTTATGTTAAATTATTAATATTTATGAAGGATATAGTAGTAACTTACTACTGTCTTAAATGGGTTATCGGTTTACCCAATAACCCAATACTAAAAACCAATACCAAAATGATAACCCAATATTTTTTTTTTATAAAATCATTAAAAACCCGTTAACCCAATAGCAATCACCCAATAACATTTCTTTTGGTTCAGTTTATTGGTCGGTTCGATTATCGCACACCCCTACGTTTTTCCGCTCTTCTATTTCAATTTGTTGGTCTTACTTTACGTTTTAAATAAAATCGCAACTTTTTTGATATATTTTATATATTTTTAGTTTGATATCATAAGATTAAAGAATCTTCTCTACTTTCTTCAACTCTAGCTATATCAAGTCAAAATGAGACAACTATATGGAAACATAAACAAAACTTATTTTTATTATATATATATATGTCATCACCCCAAATCTTTCTTCCGTATCCATTTTCTGATTTTCATTCATAGCAACAATAAATAAATAATAATATCTTTATAATTATATCTCTCCTCTTTAAATTCCCAAAAAAATTGCTACTTTTTTATGGAAAGATATTTTCTTCCCTCTCTCTCAAAGTGAAAAAAAATTTAAAAATGTTATCTTCATTACAAGGATGTAATGGTTTTTTGCAGCTTGTTGATCATCAGAAGAATGAAAAATCAAATACAACAAAGAAAAGTAAATCAAAAGATGCAGCTGTAACACATGCTGTGGCTGAACGTAAACGTAGAGAAAGAATCAATTCTCATCTTCATACTCTCAAGAAACTCTTTCCTTATCTCCCTAAAGTATGTTTTCTATCATCTTCTCATCATCATGCATCACTCGTACTTTGCTAGTCAGAAATTTCGTGAAGGGTGTTCATGGATTTTTATATTTGGTACTTATAGTAATATGTTATATATATAGTATTATTATTTTTCGACGAAGAGTATTCAACTGATAGATATTGTAGTGTATTCAAATTAGTTAGTAAGTAAATGAATTTTATGTTACTTTGCTTATGGAATAAAATTAGAATTTTGTTGTATAAAAATATGTTGTTCCAGTTTCATGCAGAACAAAAGGGACTATACACAGTGGTGGATCTAGTATTTTAAGGTTGTGGGTGCTCAAGTCAAAAATATAAAAAAAAAAAAAAATGTTAAAAGTGAGATTCGAACTCAAATTCAACAACACAAAAAGAACCTTAAACACCTACCCAAGAGACAATGGACTAGTGAGATCATCATTTGGTCATTGGGTGCTCTGTGTTAATTTTATACAAATACCTCTTAATTTCTACACATATATATATTCCGAAATGAGGTTAATGGGTGCTCAAGCATCCGGAGAACACCATGTGGGTCCGCCCATGACTATACACAAACAACATTGAAACAAAAGTACAAATGCATGCATAACATGATGGACCATTTATGTCATCCAATGTACTTTCTCAGTCCTAATTTAAGTGTCTTATTTCTTTTTTTAAGTCTATTTCAAAAAAGAGAGTCTCGTTTTGTATTTAGTAAGTTTTCAAGTTCGAACATCTGACATGACAAATTTAAGACTACTAAAATTAAAAGATTACACATATCTTTAATTTAAGATCACAAGATTTAAAAGTTTCTATTTGTTTCTTAAACTACATACTATGCTTACTTGAGTCGAGAGTGTATCAAAAACAATATTATCTCCATCTTTATAAGGTAGGGATAAGACCACGTACACACCTGACAACGCTATCCTTCCAAAATTCGATTGTGGAATTACACTAGGCAAATGTTGTTATTTTGTGGTTGCATATGTTGATGTATATTACTACTGTATATAATTATTCCAATGCTCATATTTTTGTATATATGTGTATGTCATGAATAATGCAGAAGGACAAGCCAAGAGTGTTAACTGAAGCAGTCACTCAACTAAAGGAACTAAGGAAGAATGTTGCACAACAACTAGAGTTGTCATCTTTATTCATACCTAGTGAAAATGATGTAGTTATTATAAATTATTGTGACAATATTAATGAAGAACGAACCGTCATAGCTACGATTTGTTGTGAGGACAGACCGAGTCTGAACCGGGACTTATCGTCCGCGATTCGATCGGTTCAAGGACGGGTGATCAAGGCGGAGATGGCCACGGTCGGGGGGCGGACCAAGGCGGAGTTGGTGGTGGTGTTGGGCAAGGCAAATGGTGGAGAAAAAGATGTTGGACAACTTAAACGGGCTTTAAAGGCCGTTGTGGAAAAAAGGGCTTTGGGCTTTGGAAGTAATGTGATGTTGGGCCGAAGATTTGGGTGAAGATAAATGGGCTTTAACAAGGATCTTAATGACGATGGCTATTATATAGTAGGTGTATATTATGTATATACACTTTTAAGTCTTGGTTAGTGTTTTGTGGAAATATGTGATTTGAAATGTTAACAAGGTTTGTTAGAGTTTGTTTATTTATTTATCATATGTTATGCTTGTACTCACATCATTTAAGGTAATATAATATCTTGGTAACTACGCAAAACAACAAAAAGTTTGTTTTAGTTCTTCCCCTTGATGACAAATTGACAATATAACCTTGATGACAAATTGACAATATATAAAAAGGAAATTACTATATTTTTTAATACAAAATTGTATTATATTTTGTACATTTTCTTCTATAAGATGCTATATGTAATTATTTTTTATATATTATGGTTCCTTGTATTAAAATACAAATAATTAGAATATTGAACAATAAGTCATGAGACTCCATGTTAACCGTTAAAAGAAGAAGAGAGAATTCATTTTGTTCTTTTGATATTTGATCATGATTCAAAGAATATAAATATTGGAAAATTAAGTACATGAGATAATAAGCAAGAAAAATCTCAATATTACCGATCAACTATATAAGTTAGTCTCAAATTTTGCGCTTAATTCCTTATCATTTGCCAAAGTAACAAATTACAGATTTTTTTATAGCAATATTTTACTATATATAATAATCAAATATATAAAACTCTATTCATTTATACTTGTCACATTTTATTTCTTGAGAATCAAATTACGTTCACACTAGTGACCAGGATAAAAGTATTGAAAAAAAAAAAAAAAAAAGAGAAGGGGCAAAGAGAAAATCAGAGGAAGAAAAAAATCATAGGTAAAACGTGAGAGTAAATCAAGACAAGTATCAGGAGAAGCCAAAAACTCCATCTCAGCGAAATAGCAACCATGATTTCTCAGTTCTTTGTGCTTTCTCAGAGAGGCGACAGCATCGTCTTCCGCGACTGTGAGTTTTCGTTTTTACTATCATTTTACTATGTATATTGTTTCAGATCTCATTCCGGTACAAACATTATCACCTTCTGATTTTCGCTTCATTGATTCTTCCAATTCGTAGCGCTACGGATTGAAATTTGCTTATTTTTACTTCCTGTGGTTTGAATCAAGTTTCAGTTCGTTGATCTGGATGATACAACTTTAGAACAATTGATTATGATCGAATTTGTAGCCAACGAGCTTAAATTAGTTGATCGCTCTGATTTTTAGGGGAATATTAACTGTTCTTTTGGTTTTTAGAGTTATGAACTGTCAAATCCGATGTCATTACATTTTCTCTAGGGCTTAGTGTATTCTGAATTGACCGGATAATTGTGAATTTAGTTTCATGATGTGCTATATAGTGGAGAGTTTGGCAGTTTGTTAAAGTAGCAGGTCAATGGAAACTGAGCTTAATCGAGTTAAGTTATATTTGTCAAATTATAAGATATTTAGCAAATGAAGTTACTGATTAATATATTCGCTTTACTTTGAGCGTAAGATGTCAGGTTTATTTATAGCTGGATTCCTGAATAGTATCTTTGTTAGGAGTGAAGTTAGGTGGGAGTGAGGGTGGGGTTGGGGAGTAGGAAAGGGAAGGGAGTTCAAATGTTCCAAAGTGCATGATGGGTGTTTGATTATGTTATTATTTTTGGGTCTTCATTGTTGTGAAGGTAACAATGCCTGTTGAGCAGGGTTTACTGTTTTATTGCTTGTGATGTGTTCATTGGAAAAACTACGAAGCAGTTAACCAGCAGTTACCTTCTTTTCTAAAGGAAAGTTAGGGCATGAGACAAGGAGGTGGTGTTCTGTAACTAAGATAACTGCACACATGAATTCTTTCTATATGTTCATTTTCGTTGAGATGAATGATTCATGTGGATCATCCATTCACCTTTATCTTTTGGAATCACTGTCCTTAATTTCTCTTTTTTCTCCTCTGCAATAAAAATGAGGCTGAATCTGATGAGTTTCCTTTAACATTTACGTAAAAGCAGATCGGGGTGATGTACCGAAAGGAAGTGCAGAGATCTTCTTCCGGAAAGTAAAGTTTTGGAAAGAAGATGGCGGAGAGGAAGCACCTCCTGTATTTGTAGGTATTCTTTTCTTGTGTAATAGATGCAGTTTCCATATTTTTTTGTTGAAAAAAAATTGAACAACTTGGAAACTTACCACCACTTCCTTGTCAGTCATTTATATCTGAAAGAAATTTCCAAGTACCAGAGGGTCGTTGCATATTATTCATCTCACTCGATCTTCTTTAATAGATGAATTCCCTCTTAAGATTTTTAAGGAGGAGCTTCATTGAACAGTCTACCTAAATAATGTTGTTGAAAGACATTTGACTCCAAGTGGACGCTGAACAGTTCAGAAGTAGTAAGACAAGTGAAGGGAGGTTCTCAATAAACCATTCTAAATCCCATTCTCTAGCATGTCAGGCTTTCCCTGACTCAACCGAAGGACGAAATTCCATTATCCACATCATCTCATGTTAAAATCCAATTTTTTCTTATGTTCATTGATTAGTTGCAGTCTCAATCTAGTAGAGGTGGGTGAGCATAGTTGAACATAGCATCTTAGGAGAACTTATTTTTATTGCACCTGAAATTGCTAACTTGTCTAGAGGAAGAGAAATTGAATATACTCTTAAAGTTGAGAGAATCACTAAGTATATCACCAGATATGTTCATAATAATTATGTCATTGATGGAAGTCAAGGGAATAATAAGAATGTGTCGTGATTGTCGTCCAACAAGTGACTCTCATAAAAAGAAGAAGAAAAGAGGCTATTGTTGAATAATTGGTTTATATGGATCCTTCCTATCCTCTTTTGACATGAATTTTAATGATTTTTTACTTTCGATGAGGACAGTGAATATTGGAACAAGCGATTACTTCATCATAATAAAGAATCCTAATGATTAAATTAACTTTCTTATTTCATGTAGTTTAAAACTACTATGTTATTGATTAGAGCTATTTCCCGGTGATGGTTCTGGTGGTACCTCAATCTCTTTGTCTGTATTTGATTTCTCTCTCTTTCAACCTTACTTTAAATTGTTCTCTTTAAGGTGAACATGAAGAGAAAAACCTTGTTGCTAATGTCCACAACAATGCAACTTGAAGATTCATGTATGTAAACTGTCCTATGCACCTCAAGGCTCAAGACTATTAAGTGCTATACTTAATAGAAATTTTCTTCTGTTCCCTGTAATCCCCTTGGGATACAATTGCTTGGCAGAACAGAAGGTGTTAATTGTCTACATCAAGGAGTGTCCTTTTGGGCAAGCTGCTCGTAAATAGCTAATCTCTGATGCTCCGTTCTACTGCAGCCTTTGCAGTCCCACCCTGTCTAATCAACTTTTATCTGTCATGAGTATTTGTCCCTTTTCAATTTTTGCACCTGTATGTCTAAGGTCACCAATAACTTGCAACACTCTTTACTTTTGTACACACAAGTACAGAGTTGATCGGTTCTAGGCTTCCCACATATGCCATCTTGAAAAGTTTTCAACTGACAGATAATTTTTAAATGGGAGCTGTCAGTGATCATTGTTTTGTTTATTATGCATATCCCTTCTATATGAAGCATTTGGTTTTGCAAACTGCAACTATGGAAAGAGATACTAATAGTGTTCTTTTCTTTGTTTCCTTTTCATGCAGAATGTGGATGGTGTGAACTACTTTCATGTGAAGGTAGTTGGTCTGCTTTTTGTAGCAACATCTAGGACAAATTTGTCGCCTTCTCTAGTGTTGGAGCTTCTCCAGAGGATTGCACGTGTAATCAAAGATTACCTCGGTGTTCTAAATGAAGACTCATTGCGGAAAAATTTTGTGCTCGTGTATGAGCTTCTTGATGAAGTTGTTGTAAGCCACATGCCTTATGCATATTTTCATGATCATGTATAGTCTCTCGGATAGTCTTCAAGGAATCACACCCTCTGCCCATCTATCAGGGGCAATTTGAGTTTCAAAATTGATGCCAATGAATTCAAGTTTTTTATTTCTTGAAAAGTGAAGATTGAACAGTTAAGAACTACTTCATAAAAATCTAATTCCATAGAATCGTAGGTTTCAAAATATTATCATAGCACCATAATAATTATTATAAAAGTTCATCCTCAAATTCACACTGTATTGTCATAGATTTTCCTTAACCGTGTAATTTTATCTACAACAATCATATATTTCTACGTAAACCCTTTAAAGTATTGTCTTTTAAATAGTCATTTTATATATTGTCTTTAAAATAGTCATATTTATAGTTTGGCGGTAAATTCACTCTATATTTTATATATTCGACAATATACTCATGCAAATATGACTTGTCTCTGAAACAGTGCAAGTTATGGTTTCCTTCAACTGATTTTTTAATTTTATTTTGGGTACTCTGCAGGGTTTGATTTCTTTGGCTCCATTAGGCATCTCTCAACAACCTTAACCTTATTTTTCCGTTGATTTCCATGAATTATTATGCACTCACAGAAAATCCCAAGTTATCTAGATCATCTTTATAAAGTTGAGATTATATTCTTATGTTTTTCTTTGCTGTTCTCCTTTCTTGACAGGATTTTGGTTATGTGCAAACGACGTCGACAGAAATCTTAAAGTCTTACATATTTAATGAGCCAATTATGATTGATGCTGGCCGCTTGCCACCCCTTGGTCCTGCAGCCATGTTCATGGTATTTTATATTAACTTGGAAGTGTTGCTTTTAAAGGACCAGAACGGATCTTAATGTTCTTCATTTTTCGTTTGATTTACAGTTGATACCTTCGTTTATGCCATTGACTTTGTTAAATGCAGCAAGGATCCAAAAGAATGCCAGGGACAGCAATTACTAAATCTGTTGTGGCAAATGAACCTGGGGGGAGAAAGAGGGAGGAGATTTTCGTGGATATAATTGAAAAAATAAGCATTACTTTCAGCTCAAGTGTGAGTTTTCTGCTTTGATTCTGAAATTTTGATCGTCTTACTTTCCTGTTGCAGCAATATGCTGGGATGAAAAAGTAT